TATAGGGATTTAGGGTTTCCCAAAATTAGGGGTACCTTTTTGGATGGAACCCTACCTGGACCCTACCTTGGTAGCTCCATTTTGGTGGTAGATACAGCCCTACGACTGAGGAATCTGTAGGGTCCAGGCATATGGCAGGTTGGCCAAATTGTGGTCTTCCCTGGGTGTCCGGAAAAAATCTTTCACCTGTTCTTCGGGTACCCAAAACAGGTTGCCATTCTTCCATGTAGGCCGCTTCTAAGAGGGCACATCTCTTTATAGGGCAACTTTTGAGGTTCCATGTGAGTTTGGGGTAGAGTACTGGAGGTTATGGGCGAGTGAAGGTAGGGACCATAGGTACATGTGGGTGCTAGATAGGGATTGCTATGGAACTTCAGGCTTCACTCCTCTGTTGGCTTTCTACTGATGAGCGCGGGAATTCGTGACCACTTGCTGTTTGTGTTTGTGCGTGAAACATCGCGGTACCAATGTGAGGAGTTGAGTAAAGGTGTCCGCGGCAAAAACTCTCCCTAAAGCAGCGATATAGATCCTAGTATGTCGTTGAAGCTTACTGCTCAGTACGCCTTGGATACTGCCCCCAGCCTGAAACAGTCTTCCAACATTGTAGTTTGTTGTGTTATGGCTCTAATAAGGGTTCCTTGTGTACTATGGGGTGGAGAAGTCTCCAAAGTATGTCATGTATACATGTGCCGTTGCTGAGGACAGTTCTGATGGCTGATGTGGGTCAGAAGCAGATCAAAACAGAGCGCGGTTGCATGCTCCGTGGCATATTGGGATAATATGGGGTAATATAAGACGATCTCTAGAAACAAGAAAAAAGAAAATGGAAGCACCCAATATACTATGATATACTCTAAGGGTCCCAGGAGCCAAATTATAGGGTTTCAAGGCCCCAGTATTATGGTGTTAATGGTATTTGGGCCCTCAAACCCTATCATTAGTTAGCATAGGCCATGCCCGTTTTGGGTATATGGCACCACCCCAGCCACAACCTAACATCACAATGTGAAAAAAATCCTATTCACACTCTAGAACTCCAATACTCCTATCTACCTAGGTGCCATAGCCAAAAACAGGAATGCCCTTCTTGTAGAATTTGGTTCAGAGTTTAGGGTTCAGGGCACAGGCAAGCAGTTCCGCCAAACGTAGAGAGATTTCGACAACGAAGTACCGATGCTTTGGCAAGGTTTGCTGAAGTATGAGTGCAAAGCACTTCTGATGGGAAGTGTGCTCATGGTGCTCATGCGATGAGTTTGACTCTCACGCTGTTTCAGTGTAGTTTCTGTGATGAGACAGCCACTCGAAACCAGTGTAGTGGCAGGAAAGTTTCGGATTGGTCGACCATGCATGTGGTGCGTCTCCTGCAGCTGCAAAGGCTCAGGATATTGCACAAGATGGGCCATCGTCGCTGCAGCATTCTACTTGTTGCGGTCATCTTTGCGTGGCACAGAAGTTCCGTGCATTGCTTTTTGACCTTCGGTCCAATTGGTCATCGATGCCGCGGCTCGGCACGAGCAGCGGCTGCTGCAGGTTCGGTTCTGCAAGCAATTTGTCAATTGGAGGACACAGAAATGCGCCGTTCGCGCAGAAAGACCTCGAGAAGGAGCTCGCGCAGAAAGACCTCGAAAAGCAGCTCGTGCAGAAAGACCTCGAGAACATGCGCAAAGAGTTTCCTCAAACGATGTTGTAATAGTTCCTTAGAAATTGGTAAATCGTTTCAAAATATCTAAGAATTCTAAAGCTTTATGACAGAAGTGTTGCCCAAACACTGACCCCAAGTGAAGCAAAGTAAGAGCCCCATCAATGTTCTAATTTAGTTAGTTTCGCTAAGCTTAAGGAATTATATATGCACGTTTTCATAATTTCACATTATGAAAAAGTGTGTAATATAATGAAATAATGCCAGTAAGAGTAGATAAGATATCAGTTGATTTTAAGCCATATACGGAAACAGTTAATGTAGTTACCAGGAAGTGTTATCGTTGTAAGCAAGTCAAGGACATTGATTGCTTCAAGCGTTGTTATTGCACTAATAAGCACTCTTATCATTCTTATGTTAAATACATTAAGACCTGTTGTGAGTGCTTAGATAAGTCTGTCGAACAAACTGTGATCCAGTAAATCAGAAGAAAATCATCTTTCTGAGGAAAATGACTTACAGAAAAAACAACGCGAGCGGCAATGAATATGAAAGTGAAAGTGATGATGAAACATATTTGTTTTGTAAAGAAACATCCAGATTTAACTGTTTCAATAACTGCAAGAAGTGTATCCCAGCTAAGAACAGACAAAGAATTTTACTAGGTAAATGCGATGTCTTACAAATCTTGTAAAGATCAGATTGTAGATTACTATGGCTGCGACAAATGTTGTAAGTTAAGGAATTTTTTTTGATGACTACATATGTCCGTTTACTAAATTATGTAGATACCCAGGATATGATGAAATTCACAAAATTTTGCGCGATGATGTTCAAAACGAAGATTATACACTTGAGTTACATAATGAAATGAAAACAATGTATGGGAACCTAGATACGTCTGACTTCTACAAATGGCATCAGGAGAAAAAGAATTATTTCAAAGATATTTTGTGCGGTTATTTTATTATCAAACAGTATATCATATTTTTATTGCAATAAAATATCATATAAGAAGGGACAATAATTTGCATAATGAATATTTAGAAGCAACATCACGGCTCTTAGATGAGATGATCGTACAAAATCATTACTATCTACCCAAACAGCATACTTATAGTGTAGTTATAATACATAAGCAGTTATATGCTATAATTACATTGTAGTTACAACATTCTTGGAGAATCCGAGAAGCCAAAGCTTTGATGCAGCCCTTAACCCTAAACCTTGAACCAAATTCTACAAGAAAGGCATTCCCGTTTTGGTCTACGGCACCGAGGTAGATAGGAGTACTGGAGTTCTAGAGTGTGAATACGATTTTTTTCATATTGTGATTTTAGGTTGTGGGTGGGGTGGTGCCATATACCCAAAACGGGCATGGCCTATGTTAATTTTATTTGGGTCCTTACACCGTTACAAAAAGCTTGGGAATTAACGGGCCCATGCTAGGGGCCCATGTTTTTCACACGTTTCGCTTTAGAACTACCGTCAACCTTTGGATACAACGGCAAACACGGGACTCCTTGCAAAAAGATATTTACAGCCCCTCGCTCTCCTTCATAGATTATCACATGCCTTCAGCTATATCAAGCCTATTCATTTGCCACAGCATATCATATTATAGTAACAGCCAGTAGCAGCACAGTGATCAATCGCAATCTGGATCAGGGCCAAATAGGTGGCCCCAGAGCCACGCCCTGTGGACTGGCACTGCAACGAACTTGCAGGCCGGCTCGCGCGCGAAGCTGTGAAATCAAATTTATTGTGCTGATACCCTAAACCCTAAACCCTTAAGCCCTTAAACCCTAATGCGTGAACCCGCCCACCCCTGCTAACTAATGCCATGCCACCCCTGAAAGTCATGTGTCCCGAAATGTGTAATGTCTCTTGCGGGGAAAATCTCATATTCGGGGTGGGCGGGGCGTTTAATAGTGGAAGGGGACTACTATTCTTGCAGGAGTCCATAAGAGGGAGTCAGTTTCTACTTAATCTGGGATGCAAGCCCAAGGGGGGATTTATTTTTCTGGACTCGCCCTATTGGTGCTACCGCTCTCCTTGCTATTGTTCTCCTGATCATCATTGTTGCGTCTTCCTCTTCTTCACATACTTACTCGTGGTTAGCAGGGAATGAAGGATAGGAGATGAGGATTATCATTGGGTATGGGATACAGACATTCCTGTCCCGATAAGTGATGTCGATCCCACCCCACCTTGCGATTCCTATACTCTCCGCAACCGCTTTGTGAACGGAACCCTGATTCAACTGAGTAGCATTTTATTTGGGGATGCTATGGTACCCAATACAAAAAAATCCCACAAAAAAATCTACACAACATGCTGTCATCTCATTGTTGCCCAAGGAAGTGTTGTAGCAAATGTTACATCAGTGCAACACGATCCTCGGTTCTTGCAACTATCATCAGCGGCTTCAAACTTATTCAAAACTATTTCTTGGAGGAGCCAAAGTGCTCAGTGCCTGATCGATATGACGGACTGATGTCCGAGAATAAAAATACTTTGGTACCCATATAGAGTAAGATTATATCCTGATTTCGGGTAGAGTATTTCATCTAAAGAATATAATCTTACTGGGTTCAACCACGGAAACAACGCTACTCAGCTGGGCTGCTTAGATTCTTTGTTGCTGCAGGCCATGTCTTTGGGGCGATGGCAGAATGGGGCCTGGAGGGTCCGCGTGCTGGAATGATTAAGTGGCTGGTGGGTAGGGTTTAGGGAAGAGTGAAGGAAGGAATGGAACAGAAAATGGAAACTATCATAGTATTTGGCTTATATAAAGGGTACATGGGGCTACTTTAGAGATCCATTCCTGGACTCCCTACTGATTTGTGGTTAATAGGGAATGGAGAATCAATCTGATAGTAGCAATTATATGATTATATACAATATGCTTTAAAGCAACTTCTCAATAAGTACTTCCCAGAACCCTTTCCTTCGTGACCTGTAAGCCACAAGTAAGGGAAGTCTAGCATGTACCAAAAAAGTCTCCACAGGTACTCGCCCTACTGCTCGCCACTCCAGAACTGGCCTCTGGCTTCATTGAGGAGTCTGACCAGTTGCGACCATGCCGTTAAGGTTTAGGGTTTAGGGTGAATCTTGTGACAGCAGGCCATGTATTGCGCAGGAGATTTTTCAGCAGTTCGGCGCAGGAGGAGGAGGACAGCAGCCCGAGGCTTAGTCATCCCATCTGATGGTTGCTTGAATGCATGTGTGCAAATGGAATCTGAAATAGATCCCAAGGATGCTTTCTTGTGAAGTGCTTTTGTAAAAGTTTGTCCTCCAAAGGGACCGTTGAAAGCGGCCTCATGCGGTTGGATCTTCGCAAGGTCCTTGAGAGTCGAGACACGAGGTTCCATTTCACTATGGGCGACGGCGGTGTGTTCGAGATGGGCGGAGGTCCATGTGAACTTAACGCCTGCACTTTCCTGTCCCAGGAACTAACACTTCACGCGCTATAGATGGCAGCATGAATCATACGTGGAGTAAGCTTCCACGCTGCAAGGGATCTGGCAGGAGCCAGAAGGAGTCGGAGTATCGTCCTGTCATAGCCTTTAAATACAAAAACCTCCAATCCACAGAAGGGGTTCCTACATGATGTATTCCTGCTTGCAGGTTAGGCATTGCTTTGAATGCCATTTTTGCTCAAGAAGTGGGCGCCGCCCGACATGCAAGCGGCTAGCAATCCGCCATTGCGAGAGTCATAGCCTCAGTTGCACCAGCAGAAGAGGCCTCGTTCCAAAGAGCCTTTGTCCTGTAAGGTACCAAAAACGATGCGTGGAGGCGGCTTTAGGCCAGGATCTGCTTGATAGGTCTCCGACAGGTCAGATGTAGGCTAAACAATCGCACGACTTAGAAGGAGATCGTTATCCCTGCTTTAGCCTGCAAGATGTACAGTAGTAGCTTGGGCCCGTAGACCTAGGATGTAGAATTGAAGAGAGCTGTCATTGCAACACCCAGTAAGTGTGAACATGCTCAAGTTAGCCTGCAATCGCTGTCAGACGAGAACCTCCTTGTGGTGTTGCCAACGAACAGCGGCAAAACTCGAATTGCTGCTGAAGTGC